ACTTTGAGGTCTCCTCACACTCCTGCGGTTTTCCATTTTGTCATAGGTTGCTGGCAGATTACAGGCCTCCCATAGGTGCCGCCAGGCCCCAAATCGGCCATGGGCCCCCGTACCGCCTGGTCACGCTGCTGCTGGGCCCACAGTGTGACCTGGGTCCCTGTACGGCCTCCCATTGCTTCCACTCTGCCATGTGCCACTTTGAAATCTCCTCACACTCCTGCGGTTTCCATTTTGTCATAGGTTGCTGGCAGATTACAGGCCTTCCATAGGTGCCGCCAGGCCCCAAATCGGCCATGGGCCCCCATACCGCCTGGTCATGCTGCTGCTGAGCCCACAGTGTGACCTGGGTCCCTGTACGGCCTCCCATTGCTTCCACTCTGCCATGTGCCACTTTGAGGTCTCCTCACACTCCTGCGGTTTTCCATTTTGTCATAGGTTGCTGGCAGATTACAGGCCTACCATAGGTGCCGCCAGGCCCCAAATCGGCCATGGGCCCCCGTACCGCCTGGTCACGCTGCTGCTGGTCCCACAGTGTGACCTGGGTCCCTGTACGGCCTCCCATTGCTTCCACTCTGCCATGTGCCACTTTGAGGTCTCCTCACACTCCTGCGGTTTTCCATTTTGTCATAGGTTGCTGGCAGATTACAGGCCTCCCATAGGTGCCGCTAGGCCCCAAATCGGCCATGGGCCCCCGTACCGCCTGGTCACGCTGCTGCTGGGCCCCACACAGTGTGACCTGGGTCCCTGTACGGCCTCCCATTGCTTCCACTCTGCCATGTGCCACTTTGAGGTCTCCTCACACTGCTGGTGTGTTCAATTTTTTGACATAGGGTGCTGGCAGATTACGGGCCTCCCATTGCTGCTGCCAGGCACGTAATCTGCCATGGGCCCCCGTACCGACTCCTCATGCTGTGACGTTGCAACAAGGTGGAATTCAACACTACATATGTTAGACCGCCTTTACGAACAGCGAAAGGCCATCACAGATTTCCTGATGTTAAAAGCGGATAAAGGTACTCCCTGTGTAACTTAGATGTCAGCCATTGGCAGCTCATGCGTGACACCTGCGCTTGCTCAGGCCCTTTGAGGAGGCCACGCTATTCGTGAGTCGGCAGGACTATGGGATGAACGAGGTCAAATCTGCCATGGGCCCCCGTACCGCCTGGTCACGCTGCTGCTGGGCCCACAGTGTGACCTGGGTCCCTGTACCGCCTCCCATTGCTCCCACTCTGCCATGTGCCACTTTGAGGTCTCCTCACACTCCTGCTGGTTTCCATTTTGTCATAGGTTGCTGTATGGCCTCCCATTGCTGCTGCCTCCACCGCCACACTGTGGCTCCAAACACTGGTTTTGGCCCCGTGACTGGCCAAATGAGTGAAGTGTGCGGTGATTCTAAGATCGACGGCACTCATCTGCATGTCATACTGACTGACAGTATTATTTCTCTTCCCCAGCAGACTCCAAGGGCATTTAAATTAAAGGTACAGTGTTCTGCACTAATATTAAGTCTCTCTGAAGCCTAGAAACACCCTTTTTTAAGTTAAATTCACAGCGAATATATTCGACTCGAATCGAATATTGTCCACGAATTCGCCGAATCAGTCGAATCAAATTTTTCAATACTTCGCTCATCTCTACCAGTCAGCACTGAATCAGCGCGGAAGTGCTCTTTAAATAGCCCACCCAGTGCCGACAGGCGCGCCTGAGTCCTAGTGCCTGCCCGGTGCCATCATCATCGGTGACAGATGCGCCTGGGTCCTAGTGCCCGCCTGCCTGTATGCCTTGTCGGAATCCTGTGCAGGCGCAGATTCATGCGTTGCGGCAATCTTCTCGTTCCCTAAAAGTAATACTGCCTCAGTGTAACCTCTCCCTTTTCTTCCAGCTATCATTTGGAGACTTCAGAAGCTCTGATTATTGAGCTGTGAGGTTCCAATAGGACAGCTCATAGCACAGAGATGCCCAAACCCATCCTGCCTGAATGGGTCACAGGGAGAGTTCCAGTACTGGGCACATCACTGCCATTTTGAATATCGTCAGCCAATACAGGACCAATGCCAGAGCTTTCCAGCACAAAAAAGTGCTAGTTAGATAGAGGAACAATAAGTGTTGATCTATAAGCTACAATATGGTGACAATGCCTGCCTATATATATAGGAAGACATTGGGAGAGATTTACTAAAAGTGGAGCATTCAGAATCTGGTGCAGCTGTGCATGGCAGCCAATCAGCTTCTAACTTCAGCTTGTTCAATGAAGCTTTGGCAATAAAACCTGGAAGCTGATTTGTTTCTATGCAGAGATGCACCAGATTGTGTCTGTAGTTATTTAGTGGATAAGGAAGCAATTTTCCATGTAATTGGAGGGAAAGGTATTGGGGTATAGACATTTCAATGCAGGTTTTTCTTTTCTATTCTGATGCTTCATAAATGATTTTAATATGGTAACCTACATTTCCTAGACATAGCACAATTACCTCTGCACATTACCTACTGTATGTTTTTTTTTATATTTATTTACAGACAGTGAATAGCTTACAATATGTCGTCTCCCATAGAAGTGTCACAGACTGTAAGACGTCTGAGAGAGAAATTAGTGGAAATATTTGAAGAGGATGTGGATGGATTGTGTGATGAGTTGGACTTCCTCCATCTCCTATCTCTGGAGGAATACATGGATCTCCAGTATGATGAGGATCCCAGGATGAGAACGGAAAAGATGATCGATATTATACTTCAGAAGGGAGAATCAGCCTCAGAGAAACTCCTAGATCATCTCAATAATATGACTCTCAGGTTCCCGGCATTGTCTAATGTATCTCAGCACCTTCTAGAAGGTGAGTATGTTCCTGTAGCAGAGGGTACTCCAAACTTTCTAAACAAAGGGCCAGTTTACTGTCCTTCTGACTTTTTTGGGGGGGACTGTGGCCATTGGAAGTAGAAAATGTTGCAATGTGAGTCGGAAGAAAACAATGCCCTGTCTTTGGTGTCAGTGGGAGGAATTTTGCCCCATCATTGGTAACATTGGGCCTCATTGTTAGTGTCATTAGGAGAAATGGTGCCTTATCATTGGCATCTTTGGGAGGAATTATACCCCATCATTGGTTTCATTGGGAGCAATTGTGCCCCTTCAGTGGTGTCAGTGGGGTGAATTATGCCCCATTGTTGACATCATTGGATGAAATAGTGCCTCAAGGGCCAGATAAAAGCACGTAAAGAGCTGCATCTGTCCCTGAGCCGCAGTTTGGAGACCACTGCTGTAGCACATTGATAGTCACCACAACATAAATATCTTGTTTAAACATCTGTTTGTATGACATGAACAGTGGCTGGGCAGGAAGCAGCCCTGAGCCAGTGTTACTGAGCTGCACTGAGGCTGGAGCATCCGCTATTGACAATCCAGCTTCAGTGCAAGGCCCCACCTTACATCCTGCAACAAATTCATGAAGATGTTTCCAACAGTTACATGCATCTGTTTCAAACACTAAAATTCTCCATGCAGAGGAGGGGGGGGGGGAAGAATTCTTAAGGGTGTCGTAGACACTGTTTATGAATTCCAGGTGGTAATATTACTAAGGAAGTTCTAAAAGTATGGGCATCGCAAAGGATAAACTTTGGTAAACTACTCCTCAATTTGTTAAGTTACTTCTTTTCCTTTGCTTTGCTTTGAAGTGATCCCTTCCATTGGTAGTTAGTGATCAGTGATGAAGTGTTCATTATATTTTGCTCAGAGGGAAATGCCCCCTTACATTGCTGGTCAATGATGAGGCATCCCCTTTCGTCTGTGCTCAGTAGAAAAGTGCCCCCTTTTATTAGTGCACAGTGGGGAAGTTCTACCTTGAATTGGTGAAATTCCCTCTTACATTGGTGCTCAGTGGCCAGTTTAATGGTTCATTAAATTCAATTATTATTATTATTTTTATTATATAAATGAAATCACAAAGCAGAACCAAACTCAAGTAGTGCATTTATTCTTTTAAAATTAAGCCTCTGTTACCCTCATTTAGCTATAAATGAATACTCCCAGACTCCAAGTTCCAGCCACTGACCTATTTATACACCAGACATAAATGCTGCTTAAAAACCAATGGAGGAGAGGACATTCTCCTGAGTTGGGAATCAAAATGTGATAGGTCCAAGAAAGCTCCAAACAAAAAATTCCAAGGAGTCCAAAGACTTTATTGTTCCACTGGTTACTGCAAGCAGCAGAGTAAAGGACAGCCAACGTGTTTCAGGAGCCACACAATCCCCCTTCACCCCTGCATCAGGGCTGGGTGAAATGCAGAATGTTAAATGGATGCAAAAGTACTCCTAAGGAGATTGATCAGCAGGCAGAAGATGTTCTAAACAACAGTCATTGCGGGTGTTCACAGAAGAAGTGGAAAGCCCTGCTTGTTGTAACCAGTTGAGCAATAAAGACTTTGACTTACAATAATAAGGATGACAGTCAGGGAGATGAGAGCTTCATTAGCAAGTCAGCACAGGGAGTTCCCAAGTGTCTATCCTGCAATGCTTCTTTAAAGGTTAAGAATATAAATATTTAAAAATGTCTAGGTCTTCTCATTGATGATTTTAGAAAAGGCCAATTTCAAAACTTGTCATTTTATGAAACAGTTTTGTTGAAATATGTATTTTTTTTTCAACCTACAGACAAGAAAAACTATTTCCAGGAACTTGTGGAACAGCTAGATATGAAAAATCACTTAACTTCAAAAGTGACTTTGAGTGACATTCTGAGCATTGGGTCCGAGAGCCTGACAGAAGAACAATCTCACAATATAAAGGATATTCCATGGCACGTCTTGAGGAATCTCATGGCTTTGAAAAGAATCTCCCGAAATACCCAACTGAAGAAAAGCACAGCTACTTCAGTTAATATTGATGTGTTTGATATGTTTAAAGCTGAAGTTGACACATCAAGCATAGTTCACCCCCTGGATGTCCTGTGTGTTCTCCTGCATTGTTCAGACAGTTTTCTGCAACAAGAGATTGTAACCAAATTGTCCATGTGCCAGTTTGCTGTCCCTCTACTGCTCCCCCCTGCTGATGATGGGTCACACTGCACCCTCATGTTGTGGGCAATGAGGGACATTGTGAAGAAGTGGAGACCTCAGTTATTAGAAGACAGTAAAGGGTTCATAGAAGAACATGTAGTTAACATTCCAATGCCAATCTTCTCTTTTGTCAGAATAGGGGAAAATAAATTGTCCAAATCTAAAATTCTCAACCAGATTCTAAATCCAGCTCAGCAACATCACAATTTCTTCATCCACCATGATATGGATGGAGGGAACATCAAAAGGAAGATATCTGATGGACTTGTGGAAATTTCCTGGTATTTTCCTTGTGGTAGCTCAGATGTTTTCCCAGAACCCATAGCAGTAACCAACCTACGAGGAGACCTGGAAGCCAACTGGGACCAGTTCACATTTCTGACTCAAGTCTCCTCTGCTGTGTTCATATTTATTGAGAGTATTTCTGAGGATCAATTCAAATTGTTTTCAACCTGTAAAAACAATGAAGCCCAGTATTATTTCATTATCACTCCAGGATCAGGCAAAAATATTAACTCAGAAATACAAACATTCTTAAGGTATTTAATAGAGACATTAAAGGTTAGTACAGATCAAATTATATGTAAGAGGTACAATTCAAATGATGCCGATTTTGTGAAAAACATCCAGGTTCTCCTTGGAAGCTTATTAAGAAAAGACTGCCAAAAGCGTTCACTAGAGAGTATGATAAAACAACCACATGGGCTCCAGATTGATGTAGATGAGAATATTCCTGACTGTCAGAAAGCAAGAGCATGTGCATGTAACATTACATCTGAAATAAAAGATGTTGAAGAGTATAAAAGGAAAATGTTGAGACTTCAGGGGGATCTATGGAAGCAGCTGTCCAAAGTAGAGAAAGAACTTTGCAGAATGACAAAACAAGGGGAAATGGGCACAGAAGAATATCGATCTCAGCTGAAACAACAACGCATTGCTTTGCATCAGGAGCAAAATCAGCATGATTTGACGGAACCCATGATGTTGTTTATTACTGCAATCACTAATTTGTCTCAGGTAGAGAAACAATATTTTCTAAAGTGGATGAAATTAGAACTTGATTTGATTGCAAGAAGGAATCTGTCTTCCTTACAGTTGGAATACAAAGAAAGAAGTAGATCAGATAATCCAGAGGAACTCAAGCAGGTTGACCAAAAAATCTCAGACAGTTCTTTAGGAATTGAACATTTCCTACGAGAGTTAGGACAGTTTTATGAGGCTGAATGTTCTATGGTTAAAGAAAAAATTATTGCAGCAGACAGAGCACAGTTTAGAGGACTTCCAGGGATTGCTGCTGACCTTCTAAAGGAAGGATTTCCATTAGAGCTGATTGATGGAGATTCCTCCAACATTCCACTGAAATGGATAACTGATGTTCTGAATGACCTTGATATCAAGACAGGAGGGAAAAGTAAAATAAAAGTAATCACGGTGCTGGGAGTGCAAAGTACGGGGAAGTCCACCCTTCTGAACACCATGTTTGGTCTGCAATTCCCAGTGGCCAGTGGACGATGCACACGAGGAGCCTTCATGACTCTTCTTAATGTGAAAGAGGACTTTCAGGAGGAGTTGGGCTGTCATTTCATCCTGGTGATTGACACTGAGGGGCTCAAAGCTCCAGAGTTGGCCTCTCTGGAGGACAGTTATGAACATGATAATGAACTGGCCACACTAGTGGTTGGGTTGAGTGATATCACCATTGTTAACATGGCCATGGAAAACACAACAGAAATGAAGGATATTTTACAGATTGTGGTCCATGCCTTTCTTCGGATGAAAGAAGTTGGAAAGAAACCAAACTGCCAGTTCATACATCAGAATGTGAGTGATGTGTCTGCTCATGAAAAGAACATGAGAGACAGGAAGAAACTTCTGGACCAGCTGGATGAAATGACCAAAGCAGCTGCAAAAATGGAGAAGAAAGGTGGAATCACATCTTTTAATGATGTGTTGGACTACGATCTAGACAAACACAACTGGTACATTCCTGGACTCTGGCAGGGGGTCCCCCCAATGGCCCCAGTGAACTCTGGTTACAGTGAAAATGTCCATAAGCTAAAAAAGCATTTGTTTGAATTCTTGAAAAACCAGAATGCACCTTGCAACATTGGGGGGGTTTATCATATGGATAGAAAGCTTGTGGAAAGCAGTGAAACATGAAAAATTCATCTTTAGTTTCCGTAACAGTCTGGTAGCTGAAGCTTATAATAAATTGTCTATGCAGTATATTCAGTGGGAATGGGAATTTTCAAAAAAAGTCTACAACTTTGTTATCAGAAGAGAAAATATTATAAAAAATCAGCCGGCTGAGTGTCTGGATACAGTATCTTTTGAAGAGTACAGGAGAGAACTTCAGTGCCTGATGTCTGAGGAGGAAAACAAAACCCTGGATTTGTTAGAAAAATATTATGATAGTAAGTCTGAAAATGTTCATCTTATAGAACGATATCGGGAAGATTTTAGAATGAGTGTTCAGTTCCTAAGAAAAGATCTAGAAAGAAATGCTTTTAATAAATATAGCGAGGCAGTTTCTATACAGAAAGGAATGTTTGAGATCCAGAAGATCCAGCATCAATATCAGAAGTTCATAGAAGAAAAAATCAGTGACCTCCTGAAAGATAGTAGAAAGGAATCTATAGCAAAGGATGAGGAAATTCGACAGGAATTTGAGTCCATGTGGGAGAAAACACTGAAAGATTTACAGGTACAGAAAATAGATAGACGTAATGTTGATCAAGCAATGTTACAGCTACTGAGACATGATCTGAAAAATAGAGGATCTGCTGTACATGAAAAATTAAAGAAGATAAAAAATCTAGCAAGTCATGGACAGCGAACTTTTAAAATGAATAAAAGGTATATTGATTGCTCTTCTTGGAGTGATAGTGTCAAACAGTTTGTGGGCCTACAAAGTGAAACATCTGAAGAGATAGAGAAATTTGCTGTCTCACTAATAAATAAGTGTAAAATGTTTGTAAAAGAAAAAGCTGATACCTCAGAGAATTATGACAACACTCACTGCCAAGAATTGCTACATGTGATCAATGAACAACTTAAAAGTAGCAGTCTGCCATTTTCAGAAAAATTTGAGTTAGACATCAAACTTATAATTCTTGGAAATGCTGCTGACATGCTTCAAAAGATGCATGACACATTTATCGAAAATAATGATCCAACTGCCTGTCTGGAGAGCCTAAAACCCCAATATTTATTAACATTTCTCAGTATTTTTCAAGAGAAAGATGAAAGCCAGAACAGAGCCAGACAATTCTGTGAGCGATGTCTCAAACCGGCAATCACTGACTATGTCTTCAAACATCTTGGGGAAAAGATAGTGGATGACATCCTAAATGGCTCTGAGCATATCATTTTCAGCAGCAGAAGTTTTTTCCAGTGTAACCTATTAGAAAAATTGTTAGAAGAAATGTCATTTGAAAAATATGTAGAATACATTTGTTCATTTGAAAAATTTTCAGGATCGTGGATATTAAGTTACATCTATAAAAAAATACAAGCGCTCAACAACTATGGACAGTTTATGGAAAAACATTCTATCTGCCATCATGAAGGAAATTCAAACAGTACTTAAAGCGAAAGCTTGTTTAGAAAGTCCCAGTATATCATCCTTTTTAGAAAACGCCTGTGAAATGTTGCAAAGGGAACTAGTAATATCACAGAATGAGATGAAAGTGATTGTTTTCCACAACATGGCTGCAGTTGAGCAGTTTTCATCTGACATTCAACGCTTCCTCACAGAGACGGAACAACAAATCGTAACTGAACTGAGATCTTTGGATACTGAGTCTGTGCTTTCCAGGGTTACATTGAAGCCTCAGTGTGAACTTCTAAGGAAGGTAGTTGGATGTGGAAAGCAGTGTCCATTCTGTGGTGTCCCCTGTGAGGCTGGAGGTTTTAACCATAAAGAGCACTTTGCATCTATACACAAATCCTCAGGACTGGGAACATGGAGACGGAGCAGTAATAAAGTTTTGGTCTCGGACATCTGTTCCACTCTTGTTGTTTCTGACAAAAGATTTAAATGTTCTCAAACAAATTGGAAATCTTACCCATACAAGGAGTACCGTACATATTTTCCTAATTGGGCCATTCAGCCTGACCCCACCATTGAGTCTTCAGACTATTGGAAATACATATTTGTACAGTTTAATAAGCAATTTGCAAAAGAATACAGTGCAAGACCAGCTGAACTTCCAGCAGACTGGAAGAAAATCACCAAAGCTCAAGCTCTTAACAGTCTAAAGAAAATATTCAATATGAACTAGCCTCATAAGTTGTTTTGGATGCATAAAATTAGTGCAGAAAATATATACAATTTTTTATAAGATGTGAAAAATTGGTCCTTTACCATAGTGCAATTTTCAGCCTCTTATAGGTGCAAAACACTGCAGAATATTATTACACATAGATACTCGGTTTGCTATTTACCTAACAAGGCTTTTATATGTACACACAACTGATTGGCTGGAAGCATGATTTTAGGGATTTTGTTCCAAGTGCAGAGACTTATCTCCAAAGTGCATTTATGCTGTGGTCATGGCAATACTATATTTTTTGAGCTTCAACTACTGTCTATGACTTCAGTTAGGCAGGAGACCAAACACGAATTCTTCTGCGCTCTAGGACCCAGGCAGGTGGCAAATAGATGGAACCAGAACTGGAAAACAGCAGCAACCACCAGCGCTTCAAAGGTTGCGACCTTCAGTTAGGCAGGAACTGTTTATATTCACATTCATGCCTTGCCTTGCCGCTAGTTCCAAAATTATGAATCATTTGTACTTGATGCAGACTTTTTGGGTCATTTTTAAGACAGATTTGTTGGCCTGGGATAGGTTTGTTTATCCGGAAAGTTAGTTGGTATACTTTAGTACTGAGTTGAAATTTAGGGCCAAAATAAGTTGCGGCTTTATTTATAAAGGGATGAAAGTTAGATTTAGCCAAGATTTGTCGTATATTAACCAAAAAATCATTTGTTGTATTTGTATAATTCATGTCGCTGTTATTTGCTGAACCATGAGATTTGCATAGTTCGCATCCGTTCTTATTTTCACATGAAATGGTAGTTTTAGTAACAATCTCCAGTTAACATAAAAGTGATGCTAAATACACACTGTTTAATTTACTTTCTCCCTTCTCTTTCTGTGTGGGGATGATGGCACTGTAAATATTTTAATTAAAAAAAGATCTAATTACCTTTCCTAATCAATATAAAGCTGTCACATGACCCAGCTCTTTTTCAGCCTGTCTGCAGGGAAACAGTGGCAGGAGGAGCTTCTAGTCCTGTGCGACTAGTCACATGTTCAAAATAAAAGAAAAATGCCTTTAGAATCCAGAGTAAAAATAAATAATTATTATCGATAAATTGTTTTAAATTGTCATACAAATATATATTTGGAATAAAATCTTTATTATTTTTTGGCAATAACATGGTGTGGGTGGATTTCTGCCAGTCACAGGCCGTGCCACGCCCCTCCAGCCTGCGTCTTAGAATAAGGGGCATGTGAAGCCTCCATCAACCACTTCCCAACCATCCTATAGCAGATATACTGCTACAGGGTGGCCATTCTCTGCAAAATCACGCACATACATATATATATATGATTTTGCACTTCCTGGTGTAGGGGGCGCACTTCTTCTGCTGTGATTAGTCACAGCAGAGGCCATTCGACAGGTGCTAGCGCCGGCACCCCATGTTTCATCAAGGAGAGTGACAGGACAAACCTCTACCTATTTAAACATGGAACCCCCCTCCCAGAGCTTTCTCTTGTCAGTGGCGATCTGCTAGATTTTCTTTCCCTACTGAATAAAAATACAGCAGATTGCCTAGTAAAATCACCTTACTGTATACACAAAAAACACTGGCTTAGGCACACAGTTAACCCCTTTAACCCCTTCCCAGCCAGTGTCATTAATACAGGTACAGTGTATATTTTTAGCATTCATCACTGTATTAGTGTCACTGGTTCCCACAAAGTGTAATTTTAGTGGAAAATTGTCCGCCGCAATAGTTTGCAGCCCTGCTATAAGTCACTGATCGCTGCCATTACTAGTATAAAAAAAAAAATCCAGTATACAGTGGGGAACTGAAGGATTTAATTTTTTATCATAGGTGTATTTTAAAAAGATAGAGACAGAATATCAACCAAAATTCCAGAAAAAACACATGATACAAATGTTATAAATTGAGTTGCAGTTCAGTGAGTAAATAAAGTACTTGATCCCCCACCAACCAACAACGATTCTGGCTCCCACATCCTGGCTATGTACTCATGTAGTACACAGATTAGTCCTGTCAATGTAAGAAGGTGCTCCTAATGACAACTTGTTATGTGTATAAAAGACACCTGTCCACAGAATCTCTTTAATTTAAACCTTACCACCATGGGCAAGACCAAAGAGCTTTCAAAGGACGTCAGGGACAAGACTGTAGACTTGCACAAGGCTGGAATGGGCTACAAGACCATCATCAAGACGCTTGGTGAGAAGGAGACAACTGCTGGAGTGATTATTCACAAATGGAAGAAACACAAAATAACCATCAAGCACCCTTAGTCTAGAGCTCCATGCAAGATTTCGCCTCATGGAGTAAGGATGCTCATGAGAAAAGTGAGGGATCAGCCCAGAACTACACTGGAGGAGCTTGTGAAAGATCTCAAGGCAGTTGGGACCACAGTCACCAAACAAAACCATTGGTAACACAATACACCGCCATGGATTGAAATCCTGCAGTGCCCACATGGTCTCCTTCCTCAAGAAGACACATGTACAGGTCCATCTGAAGTTTGCCAATGAACATCTCAATGATTCAGAGAAGGATTGGGAGAAAATGCTGTGGTCAGAGGAGACCAAAATTGAGCTTTTCTTTGGCATTACCTCAACTCTGGAAGAAAAATGCTGACTATGACCCTAAGAACACCATCCCTACAGTCAAGCACGGAGGTGGAAACATTATGCTTTGGGGCTGTTTCTCTGCTAAAAATACAGGCCGACCATTGCCGCATTGAGGGGCCAATGGATGGGGCCATGTATTGTACCCTAAAATCTTGGACGAGAACCTTCTTCCCTCACCCAGAACACTGAAGATGGGTCATGGATGGGTCTTCCAGCATGATAATGACCAAAAACACACCACAAAGGCAACC